ATTAAAAACCAGTAATTACTGCCATTCAATTATTTGCCGTGCACGTATACATACAGGCAGTACACGAAAACAAATAAAGTTTATTGTGACAAATGTTTCATGACAACAGCACATTTCGCTCTGGTCGAGCACACCTGCCTCATCTCCCGCAGGTGAAAGTCCACCTTTGTTGTTGGCTAGCAGTGGAGTAAAAGGACATTGCAATTATTAGAGCACATTATAAGCATTTTGTTGCCGACGCTCGGTCACAAGATAAATTGATAAGACTGACACGGCTACGCTCACCTGTTTGGTGTAGTACTTCTTGTCCCGTTTAACGAGCTGCGTTTTAAGTTTTTCTGCTGTCCACGTGGCGTATACGCAATGTCAGTTTTTGCGACTGCTTGAAAGAATCCATTTGGTGAATGAGTGGGTTGCACTTTATAATGCCCCATGGTATTTCTTCAGAGTATTTTTACGCTGCTCCTTAATGGACTTGTTTTTCATGTATTGATTTTCCTGAAGTAAGTGCACAAGTACATGGCAGACCATCATGTCTCCAGTTTGTGGCTGGTAAAATGTAAATATCCTCAGTGTTTCGAAAATGTTTATGAATCTAAATATACAAATTTCATTTATGTAACTTGCACAACTGGTTTACCACAAAATACTTTTAGACTTTATGATGAGCTAACGAAAAGCAGAGATGAAATGATTTAATCGTATTTAGGAAAAAGCAATGCATTTCACATTAATAGAATGTGAAGAACGCACTTAAACTTAATTAAGTTTCCTCTGTTTCCTAAACATGCAAATAAGACTTTCTACTGGTTAAAGTTTTGTGTCAAATACAATGACTTAAAAGGGTGTTTAATTGAACGCGTCTTGCAAAGTGCTAATTTCCCAACCATTTTATAAAGTTTTGTCATAAGATACACAAATGATGTGCTCAAAAAAGACAAAAGAGCAAATGGCACCTAGTTCCGTGTTGATAGAACCTTTTCGTTCCTGTCAAACGTTCTTTTCCATTGTTTCCGCGCCGAAGGACCTTTTCCAAAGGGACGAGACCAATACAGAGCCACAATACGAGAAAACTTCGACTAATACCTGCATAATTGTTGTGCTAATTTTGTCAGCACGCCCAGTTAATGTTTCTATTGACACCAGGCACGTTGGTTGGCTAAGGGGCGGTGACTGGTGGGCGGGGCTGGGCGATGTCCTTTCCCAGAGTTGCACTGCTTTGACATTATTTACGCTTACCTATGGGTTTGGCTCGCTCTCACCTGCCCCTTGCCCCAACCCCCTGCGAGTCTGAAAACAGTGATTAAACTAATTTTATGCAGCAGCGAGGCAGGACGAGGGCGAATACAAGGATACAAGGATACAGGCGGGGATTCGCGGAAAACGAGGAAGTGGCGCGGGGCGAGGCAATAAAAAACCATTTAAAACATTCAAAGTGTCGCATGAGAACGAGCGAAGTGAAAGTCGACAAGCGTTAACGACTGCCTTCGATATGGAACACAGTCGATGGCTCTATTTTGCTGTTTTTCAATTACCATTTGTACATGGGAAAACATACCGCCACAGAAAGAAACATAGAAAAAAAAAGTTACCTTGTATCTGAAGTTAATTTGGCTTGGATCAGTTTCCTTATGATTATTTTTATATGACTTTCACGATTATTTTTCGCAGTGCCTAACCAAATATATGTGTTGAACGCGAAAATGGAATCAAGCCCAGCAAGCAAAGAAACAAAGTTTAGCAATAAAAATCTAAAACAAGGAGCACGAGTTGTAGCCAGGCAGTTAATAAAGCCATTTCTGCATGGGCTGTCTCACCTGGCACCACCCACTAAATGGCGCCCGCAACCACCCACTTTCGCCCAGCACCACCCACTAGCAACCGGCGTTGGGTTCATTAGCAGTGACTTCCATTACACACGCTTTCCCCCGCTGTTGTCGCTATTTTCCTAGTTTCCTTGGTGCTGTTAATTACGACCCCACGATAAAAATGGTGGTAAAAAATAGGGTGGGGAAAATCGGTGGAGAACGAAAGGAAAAAACGCCTGGTGCACAATTGGAAATTTATAAAAATTACACGTAGATTGACAGGCAATTTGTCCTTGTTTAATACGAGGTGGTTATCCACTGCCGGCGGTAGTAGAGCTTATTGACTGATTTCTCCGAATTCCCGAGGCTTAGATATGTGGCTTTCGAGGCAGGGCGAGGTCTATTAGGTTTCATTAGTGCCTAATTACCCAAAAGCGAAATTAGGCGAAAGCCAATTATAGTTAATGCATTTACCGATCCGACTCGCCGAAAGTCGTCGATTGGACATTTATGGGCTGACGAGCATTGTGTTACAACAGGTATAAGTCGATAATCCTGCTGCGCATTTCCAATTAATAAGGCATTTATTATGTGGTATCCTTGTGGGCATAAAAACGCAATTCACACCCGCACTCAGACATGTTGCGAAGGAACCCAATCCATCGACATTTCTGCGGAAGGGAAAGAAAGTAGCCAACCATTAACTCACATCCACTATCCCATTCTCGATTGAGCAATAAAAAACTACCGGAAAAGCATTCCCCTAGATTTACGTAGACAAATGCACAGGTACATACACACAAGTATATGTGCATTCGTGGCTGGCAATAAATTATAAAAATATCCGAGTGCCTCAGCAGCAGAAGGAAGGTTTCCGTCTAAAACAGAAACAAAATACCAGTGGCGAATTCCTGGGAATCGAATCACTGTTTACTAGCAAATAAACCTGAAACTCGATTGCTATATTTTATTTCAAAATTAAATTCCTTATTCTGTCTCTAAAAAGGCATTTATAAAGTATTTCATTTTCTGCACTAAATAGAAGCTGATCCAAAGTCAATGGTCTGAAAACTAGCTTCTTTCTTGACTAAAATAAAGTCTCGAGCTGACTAAAGGAAACGATTTTCATATTCATGAGTGTCGTGCTCTACGGCCTTACTTCAGATAAATTCAAATTTAATCCCCACATTCCTGATGTGTATAAATTGCGAAAGGCAAAACATTAAATATTGAGCAACGCTCCGTACATTTGATTTATGAAAACATATTACACCCGTTGCTATCCTGCAAGGCGGAGAAAAGAAACACAACCGGAGTAAAAATACGGATATTTGTGAAAGCTTCTTCCACGGTCTGGGAATATAAGCATATGAAAAACTAGCTTCCGTTACGTTTATGATAATATTTTATTAAAGCGCAGCATGCCACTATAACTACGGGTTAGCAACCAAATGGCAGGAGTTTGTGTTGCACGCACCCAAGGTATCGTATAGAAATCCAAGGCTAACTTGGAGCTCGATGACGACGTCGACACGCCCCGCCAAAGAGTCCGTAATAAATTTATTATTGTGCCGCACCAGAAGCCAGAACAGAGCAAAAGTTGCAGAACGATGGTCTGGGTGGTGTAGGTATCTCACTTTTGATGGCATGGATAGCGCAACTTTTAGCCGACTCTTGCGGTTTCGACGCTGCGATAGGCAGCGGAAAGTTTTCGCTCCTTGAACTTGTTGCATTGACAACCTGCAACGGAAGTTGCTCCCTCCAGATTGCAACTTCTGCTGATAGCCCGCATGCTGCAAATTTTAGATAAATTTAATAAATAATTGGGTAAGATAACCATTTGATATCCTATTATGCATTTAAATGACATGTATCATAGTAAGATCAAATTGGTATCTACTATCTCAGAATCCTGAGGCAATGTGATTGTTAGTAGATACTCTTGGCTTACCACTCCGAAAAATTGTAATTTGAGAACAAATGTTACCCTTCACGCTATAAGTATTGCAAATAGCTAGCTGGCGGGTTAGTTTTTGCCCAAGTGCGGCTGCATCTGCATTTGCATCCGAGAGTATCTGTGTGAGTGCGTCACTATGGCCGCTGCTCAGCAAATTGGATGCAACCCTCGCCGGCGAGAACTGCAGTTGGCAAGCGTGTTGACAAGCACCACGCACTATGATGCCCCCGGGGCGTGGGGATTTGACTTGCTACCTCAGATATGGCGGGAGACATGCCTAGGATAAGCCACGCCATGCCATATACCACCTTCCCATTGCCGCAATATAAATAGCACTGATTTGCGCTAACAAATGCGGAGCGGTGGCTGTCGCTATCTGCTATCTGCGACTTGCTGGCAGCCCGAAAGTTAAGCCAACCAACCGTACAACCCATTTGTTTATTATGAAAATACGGGCTGCTCGGTCTCGTGAGTGGAGCTCCGTATTTCGTATCGCTTTCTCCGGCCCTCTGAGCCTGTATCTGTGCCTGTGCATGTGCCTGTGCATGTGCCTGTGCATCTGTGTGCGTGCCCGGCGTGTTGGTATGAGTGGATTGCCGTCTGTGTGTGTGTGTGAGTGCTGCCCACAAAAACCTTAAACTGATGACACACTTCACATGGAGGTTTCTGCCTTCGGCTATGGTTCTGGCTCTTTTTTCGTTGCCGTGTGCCGTTCATAGAACTCACACGGCGAAAGAAAACTACGAATTTTGTGATTTTAATGAGAAAATCAGTGGAATGCAAGGGCTTATCAATTCGCAAGTTGCTTTGGGAGTAAGTTTTTCACAATTTAATTTATAAATATTTTATTTTCCTTATTTTCTGAACAATCCATATATCTAACTCATGGAGTGAGCAATTATATGTCTTTCGTATAATATAGCCGGCGACCATTTAGCAACCGAATATTTGTACGCTTTTCGCTCAGTGCATCTCGTAGCCGGCTTTCGGTGCTGCATTTCCGCTTGAATGGCGTCTGTGCTCGGAGCAACTAACAGCCCATTGACAAGGGGCCGTGGGTGGGTGGCAAGAGGGTCGTGGGCTGTTCAGTGGGTGGGGTGGTGGGTGGAAGGTGGGGCAAGTGTGTCACCACACACGACCACGTAACTGAAAGGCATACTTACCGTTTTAAAACTGTGCGCTCTGTACATGGCACACTACTATATTGACTTTGAAGCATAAAAAGCTTTCCCAGATACTCCAATACACTGGAGGCGAACTCTTTATTACCGCCCATATGCCGGGGAGTCATGTTTCTGTGTTCTGTGTTCTGTATCTGCCAGTGTGGGTATTGTACAATGAAAACCGTTGGAAGCCATGCCTTGGGAATAGACGGTGAGATGACTTCCTGATCGATCTGGCTTAAGTCCGGGTCTTATCAGCAGTGGCAACCGTGGCGAGCGGCTCTTGGGTTTTTGCCAGCATATACAATGGCTTGAATTCAGCCTCCTCTTTGGACTCCAAGTGGACATCGAAAAGGGCACTGAAGTCCCTTATGTAGTTCCTAAGGCTTGCAATTCGCGACTGCAACTGCACAAAGGTGCGTTCATCGAAGATTTTCACCTTGATCCTGTCCCCGGTGTCCTTAGTTATCGAAGCCAGATCGTATAGGTCCCTGCGCTCGTCCAGATTCTTGCTGCACAGGCGGCTGAAGTGCATTACGAAGTCCTCCATGTCCTCTAAGAGCTCCACCACTAGAATATAGTTTTTTGTCTTATTCCGAATAGTGATGGGCTTTGTTACCGAATAGGCATAATCGAAACTTTCACCAATGGCCCTAAGGTCATCCGGTAATCCCTTCAGAGCATCCTGAGTGCAGACTAAAAACCCCTTTAGTATTATATATAAATACTCGTATTACTTTTGATTCTTTAATGACTATGGCTCACATTCATATCGGTGATGGCCCGCCAGTTTGATGATAGGAGCTCGTAATCTGGCCACCAGTCCTCATTTTCATCCTGAAACTCATCTCGAGTGGTAGCAATCATGCGAGTCTTTAAGATCTGAAGTAGTTGTCCCAGTCGCGGTTTCATCAGTTCCATGATCAGTTTTCGTAACTCTGCAATCTCTTTGCTTCCTTCAGCATCTTTGGGAGCTTCCTTTAGTAGTTTATTTAGGACTTTAGCAGAATACATGCTGAAAACAAAATATATATTAGAAAGTTAAAGCTTAATGAATAGTAATGCTGTGTTAGCACCAAAATTTTCGCTTTGAAGTAGATTTCACAAAACGCGTGACCCCCAGAAATTTCAGCATTCAACCTTGTTTTCAGGTCCTACGTTTTGCACATCCTCTTTAAAATATATATTTAAAATAATGCATATTTTGCTGTAGCTGCAGCTGCCTGAGGAGAACGGCTTACGCTGCGTATACGCAACGTTGTCACTGTCTGTTTGCTTTTGTGTTTATAAAACTGTCTAAATCAACGTACGAACCAGTACACTGAAACATAAACACAGAAAATATTTAATTCACATGGTACATTTTATGTTTGGTTATTTTTTGACAGCTTTTCTCGTTTAAAACTAATTGTAGTCGGCACTTGTTGACCCACAATAAAATGCAATTTTAACCCTTTTACTTTTTGTATTCTGTCTTGGGGTCAGAAAAAAAAACGTAGAAAGGTGCAAATATAGTAATAAATTCATTGAGCAGAAAAGTGGCACAAAAGCCTAAATAAACAAGAGTAACCACATCTTAACACATTTATTAGAAAATATGCTTCATAGGCATGGGCTACATTTTTTGAGTGCTCGTAATGGGATTATGTCTGTGCATAGAAACATATGTGTTCATCTTATTAATAATTTAATAAATACGGTTGAGTTAAGGTAGGAGTATATGTTTTTTTAAGAATTTATTATCCCAGCTGAAGCAATTTAGTATAAAATACTTGTTTGCCTTCTCTATAAGCCCGAAAGCTTCTCTGCCGAGTTCTTCTGCTGCATATGTATGCAGTTGTGTATATTTGTACATGTATATGTAGCTCATACTCAACAGGATAAACAGTCGAGCAGAAAGGCACTGTGACAGTCGGAGAGGCGGAAGGACAAAGTGACTGAAGGACCAGCAGACAGACGCCTCGGCAAAAAGTTTTCGAGATTTGTGTCAGCTCGTTTGAGAATTAGTCGTAGGTTTTTAGCAAAATTAAAAAAATTCTGTCACTATGCGGTTGGCATTTGCCGTCTCATTGTTTTTCGGTCCCCCAACAGGGCCCTTGATCCCCCAGCTCCCCCAGTCCCCCCTTTTCCACCCGCTTTTCCAGTTTCAGTTCCATTTCCACTTTTTCCACTTCCACTTCCCCAGCTCCAGCTCCTTTTCATATTCGGCTTGTGTTTCCCTTTCTGCTTCTCTGCCGCAATTTAGATAGTCACTTCTGCTCGCTGCACATGGCCACAGCTAAATATGTACATTAATAATAATGTTACATAAATATAGAACCTCTTATAAGAAACGATGTGTTAAGTATTTTTTAAAAGTAAACTTTAGGCACTTATGTTATTCCACTTATAACGAAATTTATGATAAGATACTCGCTAACCAATAGAATTTGGCTTAGCGAACATTTTCGTTTTGGTTATAAAATTATTTGAAATTTAGTTTTTTAATATACTTTAAATACAGTCAAGAATCAAAGCATGCGTATGTGCTGGAGAATGCATATATGTTATGTACAAATTTTGCGTTATAAGCTCTCTGCGCTTTGATGCGACCGTTGCTTAAATAATTTATGTGCCGCAAAATGTGCAAAGTAATTTATTCTGATTATATGCAAAACAAGAAGCGGCGCAAAAATGAAAATGGGCATCAAATAAAATGTGAAACGGCCGTCGAGTGTCAAAAAGAGGAGCTCTGGAGTCAAGTGCAGAGTAAAGAGATTTAAGTCCTGCACCTGGGCAGCCTTATTTTCGTATTTTCCAAGGAATCCCGCCTTTTGAAAGGGCCGTAAAAATTTATGTTGCTATAATTTAGCTTTAAAATCGCACCAAACCTCAACCCAGATCATCCGAAAAGTGAGAAGTGGCAACCAAGGGGGCGGGGCACGCATTTAAACGGAAATAAAATAAAATTACAAAAAGTGCGCAACTTTCTGACGTTGCGATTGTTATCCTCGTTGCTCCGGTGTTTTCCTTTTCAGTTTTTTTTTTTTTGCTTTTTTTGGACTTTTAGTGAGGGCCGAAATGGCTGTCAGAAAGTGATTTAGAAACTATGCTATGACCCGGGTACCTTGGCCCGCTCGAGAACCCAGTTCTCCGGGAGCTCGGAGCTCGGAGTTCGGAGTTCCGAGTTCCGAGTTCAGGATTGGCATTTGTTTGTTGTCGACTGTCGGCCGGCTGTCGTCGGTGGCCATAAAGTTGAATTTAAATTTGGCATTTTTGTTATTCGGCTATTGCCATTACCATTTCGTGTGCGGCTCTTGAAAATGCCTTGAAAACGAATTGAAATCGAATTGTTTGCACATTAGTGCGGTTAGATAATTGAAGCCACATTCCAGTTGAAATTACATTAGGCGGACGGACGGTGAGTCAAGTGGCAAATACGCATAACTCATATAGTTTTTGCCACTTAAAAGCCACCGGCAAATATGCTGAAAATGTCAAAACGTCGCTTACATATTTAATGCGCTCTAACAGGCTTAATCAACATTACAAAGTAATTAGAGTTAATTCTTTTGTACTTGAGCGAGCAGAGACACCTGGCACAGGTAGGTGGTAGTCAGGTATTCAATGTGCTTACGCATGTAGACGGTGACACAGCGAGATTGAAGGTGAAAATGAAACTGAACCTGGAAGATGGAAGCTGGGAGCTGATGAGGATGAGGATGAAAATGATAATGAAAATTACGATGACGATGGGGATGTTGGTTGGTGGTTGGAATGAGGATGAGACCCGTATCTGTAAACTGTTGCGCGGCAATTTGCATGGTTAATTATCTATTAACTTGAGCATAACTTTTTCGGTGGGTGCGAGTGCAGAATCCGCAGGATCCAGAACCGCCAACAAATGCACACACACACACACGCACACAAATACCAAGACAAGCGGGTGAATTAGGAGCCTCCAACGAAAATATATACATCCGTTTCCGCTCTTGTCCTGGCAGTGGCAGCCATTGTCATTATATAAGAGGTAAAGCGAACTGCGAAAAATTCAAATTGCTACAGAAGCGAGGTGAATTTTTTAATACCCTTGATAACTGTATGAAAATTCAGCTTTCAGATTGTATCACCTGGTATAGCAATTGCCATAGAAATGTACTTTTGTGTAGCTAGCAAATAGATGTAATAACTATATTAAGTAAGATCTTATCTTACGAAGTTAAGTTCTTCATAGTTCATATACCTCACTATAAGTTTCAGAATTGTAGAGTACAGGAGCAGCGTCAGCGGAAACAAGTTTATGGTAATCTTAATGCCTAAAGCTTTCCTTTGTTTTGATGCCGCTGCATGCCGTAAATTTCACTTATTAAATATTTGTGCTTAATTAAGAATTTAACTCTCACAACAAGCGAAATGTTGGGAGTTGGGTGCCGGCAGGACCAGACTTTCAATGGCTTTGGGAGTACATTTCAAACTAGGCTTTAAGTTTGATAATGCATAATTAAAGCCAGTTTTGGAGTGCTTAATATCCATGAGTTGCGACTTTCTTGACACACTTTCATCAGGGGAAGGAATGATTTAAATTTCTTGAAACCTCAGATAATGATTTAATGCCATAAATTCTTCTTCCGTTTTGATAAATTTGATAAAAAAATATAGTATCCTAGTTCCCAGAAATATCAATTGAAGTCATTTCACAAGTTTTCGATTCAGACAATTGGAGGCTTACTGCCTGGCCATGGATTTCGAGTTGAATGCGAATCCATTTTCGGTTAATTTTTAAGAGCCCCAATCGATCTCCATTATTGACACATTTTTGACAAATTGCCAGATAGCCGCAGAGTTGGATTTGCGGAGTCCTTTTCCTGGTCCTGCAACTCGCAAGTGAAACGTGTCTCGCATTTTTGAGAAGGCCGGTCTACCTTTCTGGTTTTTCGAGGTAATGGCAAATGGAAAAGGGTCAACGATTTGCGTATTATTTGCTTTATTTTCAATACGCAGAACGAACCCTTGTCAGGAGCAAAAAAAAGAGAGAAAAATACAAAAAAAAATAGCAAAAAGGACTCATTGCTAGGCAATGGATGCCTCGCTGCTGCGCAAATATTACCACACTTTCTGCCTCCTCTCCCACTCACATTTTTGCTGGCCTGTTGTGTCCTTGCTCCGCTTCTTTCGCATTTCAGTTCATTTCTGGCCTTAATTATGTGCGGCGCAGAACAAACAACAAATGCACAAGCAGCGCATATGTGCACATGCACTTTCAGCCCAGTTAATTGCTCACGGCACACTCGGAGCACTCTGCGCCACTTGACCGACCTGCCGAGACGTCCTGCGAAAGCCAGCCATTTGTCCTGCCACTTCCCCAGCCTCCTCAGCCTCCTCAGCTTGCCCAGCCCCCTGAACCTCCGCTGCTCTCCGCTGCTCTCCGCCTGACACTATTTAAACTAAATGCTCACCTTAAAATCACATTCTACCAGGATGTCCAGGACACCGAAAATGTATCTTTTGCCTGCGGCCAGCTTTTCGTTATTTAAAACGGCCTTTGTCTGCGCTTGACCCTCTGTCACACCGCCTGTTGTCGTGCTCCATCGCCATTCCTGGCTGCACTGGAAAAAATTACGAAACTGAATTGGAGTCCTGGCTGAATCGAAGCAATTGTATTGCTTAGCCGCTGACCAACTTTGGGAACACTGCGTTCCCAATTTTCTTATAATTATTAGGTTATATTTCATTTAAGAAGCACCCAGCTTGCTAATAAAATCATTGAAATGACAATTTGAGTGGAACTCGTTGTTAGACATTTCTTTAAGAGTATTATTTAATTGCTAATTTGATTTAAATTTAATTTAGCTTCCATTCTATTCTTTATTAGTTTAACACTTTGCTTAATTGCGTTTCTTTGTCACCAGCCGCATCGACGCATTTCCATTCGTGTATATAACTTATATATATTTTTCTCCGTACACCTATTTACTTACGGCTTTCCGTTGGCAACTGGCCTTTGCAGCTGCTTGTTGCCTGCACAATATTGCGGAGGCGACCGGCTTTGATGTCCGCTTATCAGTTCATCGCCCTGAATTTTCTGTCGTACTCAAGGAGCGGTCGAAAAGGGTTCTCGGAGCCGTCGA